TCCTTGAAATTTATTGGCTGGTAAGTCCCAAACAATATCCCCTCGCTAATGGCCTGAATTACTTCTTCCTCGGACAAATTTGGGGAAGTAAAGGACTGAATATCAATGTTTCAACTTCTTTCACTATTGCTAGAAAAATTGACCAAAAAATTGTAAAGGTTGGAAAAATTATAATCGTTATTTTCTTTTTCAACATATAAATAGAGCAGTTTTTCCTCAGAAATTAGAGTGGTTTTTCAAGGCTTTTTTTCAATTAAAGGATGAGTTTTGCTCTTGCTAGTAATGGCCCGGAGAGTCAGTAATTTAGGCTGAGAAGATTTTTGAACGAATAATTTAATCATAACAATTGGTAAGTATTATTATATCTTTATTTTTTTTAATTTTCTTGTCTCTCTCTCTTTTTTTTTTTTATTATCACTATTGTTCCGATTAATATCACTGACAAGCAAATTACCACTGGGAGAATTCAGAAAGGAAATTCATCTTTATTCTGGGTCGGCTGGTTGCTATTTTGAGAGGTTTGCTTGAGGCTTTTTAAACTTTCAATAACTCCATCTATTCGCTCGTTTTCATTAAGAGTCTTATGAGCAGTAGATTGCTTATTTTTCTCTGCAAGTAATTCATCAAAAATTAATTGATTAAATTGTCCTTTTTCGATTAAAATCTCCGCAGAGATTAGGGTTTTGAGTAATTTTAAAGCCGCTTGTTTTTCGTCCTCTGTAAGTTGCTGATTATTCTCTATTTGTTGCTTGGCAGGGTCATTATTAAATCTATTTTCAACCTCATCCTCGGGGGGTGGAGGAACGTCATTTTTGTCTTTGCTAGGTGTGGGTGTGGTTGGACCATTTCCATTGTCAGGAATATCACCTGGTCCGCCCGGAGTGCCAGGAGAGCCGGGATTACCAGGACCAGGACCGCTTCCTCCTTGTTTAGCCTGCCGTTTATTTTTAATGTCGGCTAATATTCGGTCTTTAATTGCCGTAATAGTAGGCAAATCGTTCGCATTTTGAATCTCGTGGCGTCAATTCTGATTGGCAGTTTCTAATTCGTTATTATTGATGGTGGGGTTTTGGTTGAGGGCATTGTCAATGTCCGAAATAGCCGCATTTTTTTCAGTTAGCAAGGGGTCAGAAGTCTGCGGTTCCTCTTTTCCTTTCAAAATGATATTATCAGATTTATCAAAATTTAATTCTAATTCTTCATAAGTTTTGATAGAAGCAAAATAATCCGTCTTGACAGTGAATTCTTTATTGCTTTTTTTAAAATTGTAATCCAAAATTAGGTTAATAATTTCTAGTTTGGCCTCCTCGCCTTTGAAAATGATTTTTTTCAGCGGGGATTTTTTTGTGTCAGAATTCGCCAATTCCCAATCTATTGGATCAATTTTCACTTCAATAGTCTTTTCGTTTTTTTTGTATTGAAAATTATTGACCGTAAAGCGAATTTCTTGGTTTTTGGAGTTTCAAGTAACAACAGAACCTCACCAAAGTTGTAAATCAGAATATTCAAATCTGGCTATCGTGCCGTAATCATGAGCGGTAGGAAGACCGAAAAAAGAAGGGGACATTTTTTTCGCAATGATATTCGCTTGGGTTAAAGTAAAATCCGGCTTTTTAGTTTCAGAAAATAAATCGTTAATCTTCAAAAGACCACTCAAATTATTAATTTTTTCTTTCTCACTTTTAGGAAAAACAAACACTAATGTGTTAGCAATCAATCCGCCCATATCTAACCCTTCCGTAAGTTTACATAAAAAGAAAACGCTATCTTTTCCGGTGTCTTTTTCTATTGCTTGAAGTGTCTTTCAAGACAAAAATTTGATATTAACAGGGTTAGTGTTGAGTGTTCCGAATACCATATTGTTAATTTTACGGAAAAAACTTTATTGATAAGTAATATCTCCCAACCTTCTGCTTAATTGTCGAATTCCTTGCCGGAATGAATTAATGGTTTCTCAAAA